CTTTTCACAGCTCCTACAACTCTGGCCTGTACCCCAATTCTGTATGCATGGCTAATAACTAAATCTTTAAAAATCTTACCTATTGTAGAATGTTGTACCTAATTCTGGTAAACAGTTTCAGAATATGTAGCATGCTTCAAATTTAGATCTGAAATGTGCAAGTTATATCAGTTCCCAGAGACAGAAGGTGTGAATTTGACTGGTAGTGAATTCTGACTCTGTTGCTTAATTTTAATATTTTAAGCATGGTGAAAATAAAACTTTTTTCTAAAACATCTGAATTTTAAATATTTTTCTATCTGTGAGAGGGCATATTTAGCCTTTCAGGTATTTTGCTAGCACATCAACTATCAGCAGCAAAAATAATTTAATTAGTAAGATTTCCTTTATCTTTTTACAGACTTTTATTATCTTTTAATATGTGACATATTAGACTATACCATTAAAAACTAGTCATTTAACAAGAAAACCATTTATTTTTTTCTTCTGTGGACTATAAGCAATCCATTTCCTTCCCCCCCAAATTAGAATGAAGACATTAATGTTTGAAATACAATACATCAATCACCATGTAATTTTTATTGCTAATTCATTTTTAATATAGGCTTGAGGCCATTGTGACTCTTAAAAAATAAGTGTGATCGAGAATATTTATGATTGGAAATCTTCCTAGCTAAATAAATCAGGGACATTGGCTAGGCCTTAGAAGTGCATGTGATCTTCAGATACAAAAAATGCTACTTGTATTCATTTTTCTTCTCATATTAGGTTATACAGTTTCAATATTAGTTAAGTTCATGAAAATTCATTTGATCCTAAATACTAAAATGAATCTTATTCCAAAATTACTTAATTCTTCTGACATGATAGAGCATCATATATCACAATTCCTTCTCAAAAAAGTTTTAACATCAATAATGTAATACCACTTTAGCAGAAGAGGGCTATGAGTTCCTTGGTGGTAGTGTGGTGTGGTAACTTGAAAGTGTGTAACCTGTAACTTTGAGCTATATACAGTTTGAATACCAGTGTTATTTGAATTAGAAGATATTTTTAATTTATTCAGTTGTATTTTCTTGGAATCCATTCTCTACAATAATGGATTGTGTCCATGTGTGAATGGGTGGAAGAAAAAGCCACATACTAGTCTGGTGAATATTTGGTTATTTATTATTATTATTTTAAAGTTTGTACTTTATGTTCAGTAATAAATATTTTTAAAAAATCATGTCATTGGGCCCTCCCTGGTGGCGCAGCGGGTTAAAGCACAGCACTGAGAATCTGAAGCCACTTCCGTATGAGTTCGATTCCC